AGGTAGGGGTATACGTGAATACCCTTGTTAACATTCGTTTTGACGGATAGGTGTCGGTAAACGTGAATCCCCTTGTTAACATTCGTTTTGATGGACAGGTGTGGGTATACTTGAATCCCCTTGTTAACATGCATTTGAGGGATAGATGTGTGGATATGTGAATACCCTTGTTAACATGCATTTGAGGGATAGATGTGTTTATACGCGAATCCCCTTGTTAACATTCATTTTGACGGACAGGTGTGGGTAACCGTGAATCCCCTTGTTAACATTCATTTTGACAGATAGTTGTGGGTATACGTGAATACCCTTGTTAACATTCGTTTTGACGGTCAGGTAGGGGTATACGTGAATCCCCTTGTTAACAATCGTTTTGACAGATAGGTGTGGGTATACGTGAATCCCCTTGTTAACATTAGTTTTGACAGACAGGTGTTTTCGAAATCCCCTTGTTAACATGCATTTGAAGGATAGATCTGTGTATATGTGAATACCCTTGTTAACATGCATTTGAAGGATAGATGTGTATATATGTGAATCCCCTTGTTAACATGCATTTTGAGGAATAGATGTGTGCATACGTGAATCCCCTTGTTAACATGAATTTTGAGGGATAAATGTCTGTATATGTAAATTGACTTGTTAACATGCATTTTGACGGACTGGTGTGGGTATTCCCCCAATCCTCTTATTAACCTGATGTGACGAACATCTGTCGGTATACCTGAATCCCCTTGTTAGTCAACAGTGTGACGGGCATCTGTGGGTATATCTGAAACCCCTTCTTAACCTTCAGTGGGACGGGCATTTGTTGGTATACCTCAACTCCCTTGTTCACATGCAGTGTATCAAATAGGGGTGAGTTTACCTGAATCCCCTTGTTAGCCAACAGTGTGACTGACAGGAGTGCTTCACATGCGATGGGTCTGCTCGTTAACTTGTGTGACGCTGTCTTTATGTACTTACAAGACAGCGTCCACCACATGAAAACTTACGTCTTGGTTCCTCGATCCCAATTAGTCTCATGACAGTTTGTAACAGGGGCCTATGGGATTACTTAAAGACTATGATCTTTTCATGATCTTCCCAACTATCAAACCCTACAGATTGAATAGAGAATGCCAGCCTCCCTATCAAACACTGAAGAGTATAACAAGGGCCTCAATGACACATGCGGTTATTGATTACTTTATAACGACACGGTGGAACTTGTACAAGAACACGTGTAACACTTTACCTTTATGTAAAGGAATTTCAAGAATGTTCACTTTTCTTGCGTGAATATTACGACAAACAACCACATGAATACGTGTTATAATCTATATTTGACGAAACGAACATCACATTTGTTAGTTTGAACGTTTCCGTTACATATCCGTCCCGCCAGCCCGCATGTATCTATGCTGGTGTTACTCCATTGTAGAGAGAGGCGGGAGGGGGGAAGCTCCCCCACTGACAATGGCCTGGTCACGTGCCTCGACTGAACCGCAAGTGTCACGTTGTCGGTTTAAGGAAAGACGCCGAAAGTGACACGACCAGGGGGCATACACCCTGTAATAAAACCATATTGTGGTAGTAGTTGTATAGATAGCATCTCTATGTGGACAGACAGGCGGGTGATAGGCGATGCAGCCTATACCAAACAGAAGTCTGCGGCTCGCTGGCCCCTCCCTCGCTTTGTGGTGAGGTGAGGGTACTGTGGTCAGTACCCAGCTAGTGGATAGAAACGTATCACGATTGTTGAAGCAACCTGATGCAGGTTCTGAACTGTGTCATCTTTCATCAGTGCTGGGCAGACTTTAGGTGTCATCTTTCATCAGTGCTGGGCAGACTTAAGGTGTCATCGTTCAGCAGTGCTGGGCAGACTTTAGGTGTCATCGTTCAGCAGTGCTGGGCAGACTTTAGGTGTCATCGTTCAGCAGTGCTGGGCAGACTTTAGGTGTCATCGTTCAGCACTTCTGGGCAGACTTTAGGTGTCATCGTTCAGCAGTGCTGGGCATACTTTAGGTGTCATCCTACAGCAGTGCTGGGCAGACTTTAGGTGTCATCGTTCAGCAGTGCTGGGCAGACTTTAGGTGTCATCGTTCAGCAGTGCTGGGCAGACTTTAGGTGTCATCGTTCAGCAGTGCTGGGCAGACTTTAGGTGTCATCGTTCAGCATGTCTGGGCAGACTTTCGGTGTCATCCTACAGCATGTCTTGGCAGACTTTAGGTGTCACCCTACATCAGTGCTGGGCAGACTTTTGCTGTCATCCTACAGCAGTGCTGGGCAGACTTTAGATGTCATCGTTCAGCAGTGCTGGGCAGACTTTAGATGTCATCGTTCAGCAGTTCTTGGCAGGCTTTAGGTGTTCACCTACAGCATGTCTGGGCAGACTGTAGGTCTCATCGTTCAGCACTGCTGGGCAGACTTTCAGTGTCATCCTACAGCAGTGCTGGGCAGACTTTAGGTGTCATTGTTCAGCAGTGCTGGGCAGACTTTAGGTGTCATCTTTCAGCAGTGCTGGGCAGAATTTAGGTGTCATCGTTCAGCAGTGCTGGGCAGACTTTAGATGTCATCGTTCAGCAGTGCTGGGCAGACTTTCGGTGTCATCTTTCAGAGTGCCGGGTAGACTTTAGGGGATGTTATCATCTTTCAGCAGTGCTGGGCAGACTTTAGGTGTCATCGTTCAGCAGTGCTGGGCAGTCTTTAGGTGTCATCGTTCAGCAGTGCTGGGCAGACTTTAGGTGTCATCCTACAGCAGTGCTGGGCAGAATTTAGGTGTCATCTTTCAGCAGTGCTGGGCAGACTTAAGATGTCATCGTTCAGCAGTGCTGGGCAGACTTTAGGGGATGTCAATATAAAGTACTACAAGTGTGGCCTTCTGTCAATATATACACCAGAACATTAATTAAGTACCACCCATATTTTCATGAATGATTTGTACTTGAAATTTGTCATCAGAAAAATGGACTCTCCGCCGCGATGCAGTTTTCCAGTTTAGACGTTGATTAGACCATACTAAACGAGCATCTTTTTGTGCCTGAGTTTGAAAGGCCTTCTGTAACTGTATCCAGCTGTTTCCAGGCCATTTCTGGTAGTTCCGAAACCGCTCTGCCTGGTAGCGACTGTGCCTTTAAAACAGTACTGTCGTCTAACGAGCTTTAATAATTCTGCATCTTCTCTCCCGAGTTTCTTGCGAGGCTGGCCTTGGCGCGTCATGCTCTTAAATTCATTTGTTGTTCGGTATTTCTGCACTAGTCTTGAAATTACAGTATAGTGACGTCCAAGTCTGCATCCAATTTCCCTTCAAGACATTCCTGCAATATTCTATTCTCTATAATCTGCCATCTTAACGCTTCAGACAATCTACGACGGGTCATGATAATGCTTTGTAATGAGCATGCAGTCTGTTTTGAGAAATGTGCACCTGCAATGTTAGCGACCAAAATGTGTTTTTAGACATTTCATGGATATTGTGCTTCACGTGCAGTATGTGCAGTGGTATCGGCAATGGTATGGTGTAGGAAAAGGGCCATAATAGCAAGTATGCGGATACAACTTACTAATTTTCAAAATGTTGATTCTGGTGGTGCTTAATTAATTTCCAGGTGTACAGTTGGCTGTCAACATTATTCATTATTATTACCAACGTAGGTAAATGTTACCTATTAATATTTAACAATAAGTTTTGTATAGAGAACTGTCAATACTGTTCATTCCTGCATGTACACAGATTATCAACGACAGTATAATTTTATCGCACAAGGAGGAATAAAAAGCCGTTCTATGAAAAAATGAAAATGACCACAGATGGCTAATGTTGTACTGGAATCGACTGTTATAACGACCAGAGAACGTGTTTTGCTGTATCAGCAGTTCTAAGGGTGTCTGAGTGACCTTATACGTCAGAGCCCAAAACACACCAGACTGCAATCCCGCCCTCGACCACTGCGCTTTTTCTATGACTTAATAGTGAGAATGGCATCTTGTTCAAGCTGAATGAATCAGAAATAGGAAGCCTGCACTCTAATGAATGTATATGGGGGCATAAATATGTCTGAATTAAAGGTTATATGTCGTTCTACCTGTTGCACGTGTTTTACATAGAGTCCTAAGCTCGACCGTTACCCAAGCCGCAGAGGCCACTTTGTCCTCAGTAGTAGGCGATCCTGGTGTCCCTCCTACCCATAAAAGCAAACGATAATAGAGAGGACACGTGTCTCTATTTAGTTACAGGAATTTGATTGTGACGTCACAGTAAAGAACATTGTTGACAACTGGTGCCTAACATGGGGCGCGTTGCGCTGTGTCCAGCTGGGTCAGTTTAGATTTGTTTGTTCGTTGTTTAACGCCGCACTCAGCAATATTCCAGCTATATGATGGCGGTCTGTAAATAATCGGGCCAGACGATCCAGTGATTGACATCATGAGCATCGATCTACGCAATTGGGATACGATTACATGCATCAACCAAGTCAGCGAGCCTGACCACCCGATCCCGTTGGTCGCCTTTTACAACAAGCATGGGTTGCTGAAGACCTATTCTACCCCGGATCTGCACGGGTCGGGGGTCAGTTTAGAATATGTAGGGAAGGCGAAACTGCCAGATAGCAGATTGCGTTGTTGATCTTTCCCTTTTAAAGACAAATACACAATGGATGTGAGATGGCACTACTTCAGTGGAGAAAGGAGTGACTGTCTCTCATTCAGAGTTTTTTAATAAAATATTAAATATCAAAGAATATACATCTTGATCGCAGGTTGATAAAGACAGTTTCGACCCTCCAGAACTGCCAACATGATAAGCCGTATCAGTGAAATGTCTGGAACCCGATGTATTTGATGGACATTTTGTATTTGTATAAGCCATAAAGATATGAATAGTTTCTTTATTATTCATGCGGACGGATCAGAGGTATTTCCCCTTCCCGGCCGAATGACTGCTGGTAAATGTTGACTACTGATAATTGTTATTATGTTGTTACATTTATATTACAAATGTCACGTTCTTATTTCAGAATTACTACAGCCATCAGCAGTATGTCCTGAGATTAGACCGGGCGAGGATGACCTTCCGGGTGAGTTGCGCATGCGTTAAGTCAAAAATGTCTCATTTCCGGTCCATGCCACGTGTCTATGCCAATACATGTACAAACATTCAGTAAATTGCACAAACAATCGTTTCACATACTTAGCTATGTTAAACATGCAGCTGCCATGCTCGACGTGGACAGGACATGGTGATAGTTTCAATATGGCGTTGTAAACAATAGAAGACATTTGGTAGCCATCTCGCGCCCCCTGCGTGGACCACTGTTCCAGTGAACTTATTTAGAGCCCACAATTGACATGTGGCAAATACAAAACTGAAGATTTGCCAGCTACACAAAATAACATGCAAACATTCTTTCACACACTGCCTATTTACGATGTTGTCCATAAACTGACCATACCATGACTGGTTATTGCAAAGTTGACCGTGGACAGGGCCCCGTTGCACAAAGTGATCTTAGCGCTAAGTCGATCGTAACTCCCATTCTTTAACACGGACTTACTACAGTCGTACCGCTAAGATCGCTTTGTGGAACGGGGCCCAGATACTGTTTAGCAATTACATTGTCCACATGGACACGAGAATGGTGAATTGACATTAAATGTTTTTGAAGCATTTAAGTCATAAAGAAAAATTATCCACATAAGCCTATGTTAATGCAGAGGAAGCGTTGGCGTTCTTGAACTAGGTAGCCGGACTGACTGTCACTGCTGCTGCTGGTTGTAGTTAGTGAGTGAGTTGGGTTTAACGCCGCTTTTAGCAGTATTAAAGTCACATCGCGGCGTGTCAGCTTAATGTGGGAGGAAAGCCCGAAGTGATGCAGGTCTCAGACGTTTACCACTTCGGTAAAACCCACGAGCACGGGTATGGTGCTGACAAACCTAGACACATAATCGGGGCGAACCGGGATCATAGGCTTCTGATGTGCCCAAGGGACGCAACTCAGCACAGCGAATCCCTTTGCCTTAGACGACTGGGCAACCCGTGCCCCCGCTGCTGCTTGTAGCAAGAAAGAGCAGCGGAAGAACCGTCGTGGTTCTTCATGTTCATGTGCCTTTGTAGACTGGTGTAGCTAGTGCTGCGGTATTAACTATCGTTCTTTCACATACTTACCTTAGTCCATTGTGGGCGGTATTGTTCTGATGCTTTCCCTTTACACTTCAATTCGACTACAGCTAATGAAGTGAGCATCTTCCATTCATAGAAATGGAGACTTTCTCAATGTTATTGAGATACACAACATCAATAGTGTCAAGACACGCATTGGTGCCCTAACGATATCATTGAACTTTTACGTTAAGATAGCACTCTAGGAACTCAACTTCATTGCATGGACTACACGTCTGAAAAAGGGTGACATTTCCAAAATACACATTTTTGAGAAAAGAATAAAGACATGATGGTGATATTGATATTCAGTTGGACAATACGTGATAGAAAAAGACTTCCCCGGGCTGTAGCATATGGGTCCACTGGATACAGAGGTTGAGCGACTTCTGCGATGATGACGTTCTTGAAGCTCTCTGTACACACAGGTGTCCATGCTCGCTGTGAATCTATCTGAGCGTTGTTCAGGCTTCTCCAGACACAAGCTTACCATTTGCTGCCTCACACATACACATATACATGCCCTGGCTACACCTAAATGTGTAAACGGCTGTTAACGAACTTCCACACCATGCGGAATTGCAACCATATCCCCATATCACAGACTAACATCGCCTGGCATGTTCTCAAATAGTGGTAATCCACTTCTCCATATGGCCACGAGATCCTGCTACCAGCTGTTCTGGGAGCTTCTAGGATGCGAACCAATATTAACCTGTAGGTCAGGTAATGGTAGCATAAGTTGCCATATCACACCACCCTCCCATATCAGTATATCACACGGGTCTCCCATATCACCATGTCTCAAACACGTGGCTTCTGCTGCGCGCATAGTCCTCCTTGGTGGGTTTGTTTGTCTGTTTGTTTGTTTGTTGTTTAACACCACACTCAGCAATATTACAGCTATATGATGGCGGTCTGTAAATAATTGAGTCTGGAAAAGACAATCCAATGATTGACATCATGAGCATCGACCCATGCAATAGGGATACGGTGACATGCATCAACCAAGTCAGCGAGCCTGACCACCCGATCCCGTTAGTCGCTTCTTACGAGCCATAAACGACACAGTCGCCATAAATGACAAGCATGGGTTGCTGAAGACCTATTCTACCCCGGATCGTCACGGGTCTCATCCTTGGTTTAGGACTGTGGAAAGGAGATCACTGCAACCGGCTGGACAACTTATCCTCCCATCGCCATCCTCTACAGACCAATGCGTACAGTTATAGCACATACATATACAGGAATACACATACACGTGTATTACATCACGTTGGACTTGCTGTTTGTTTACAAATGCCTGTCACTTTATACAAAATTAATATTGATTTAAGTGAAGCATTTGGTGTAGCGAGTAGGACGAGTGTTGGAGTGTTGCGAGGGTGGTCACGGTCCAGTATGTCACGTGTACAATGTATGCTGGTCTTTCTCGCATTCCCTCGTGTATAACGAGATATGCAAACAGAACGCGGAGTAGAGGGGAAGTTATGTTTGCACGTGCTCCTCACGAGAGAGTTGAACACGATATTGTTCTAGAATGGGAGGAGGTATGTCTTTGATATCGTCAAGGGAGGAGGTGTGTTATGACGGAAATGTGACATCTCGAACTCGTTGTGAAGGGATATAAGATACTTGGTTATATTTGAATGAATCGATGACCAGTAGTATACATTGAATTGCTTTGTTGACTGGACAGAAATTCCAAAAGGAAACTATTAAATGGATAATTCATTTCATCAACGTAGATGAATGCGTGCCCTAATGTGAAAGAGCTGAGTTTCTAAGGGAGGCGAAAAGGGGCGTAACGTCGCGTTCAATATCATTGCACTTATAACGACTTGCATCCATGTGTGCATGATTGCCTGTACTGGATAATACTGATGCTGATTTTATAGCGCTAGCCCACGAGATACAATGCCGCATAAAATTTAAACTCAGACACAGGACATTGACTGTTTTATCTCCATAATACCGAGCGCCAGGCAAGGTAACAACAAGTACCATACTTTTAACGTCTATTTATATAACGCCGGGGGTCGAATCCCTGACCTTCCCCACCGGACATCTTTGAACAGCTTTAGGTGTACTGGAGGAATCGAACGACCGATATCTAGATATTAGATGCCAGCCAAGATTTGATTGCCTTGAGATAACAGCGCTAGATGTGGATGACATTGAAAGCATCATTCTGCTGGCAGGTCGGAAGTAAAATATAACCAGATTCCCGTCAGATTTTGAAAACAAATAAAGACCATGATGACATGACTGCTGAATCAGCGGGAAAGAAGCGACGGAAAGAAGCGAGCTAACGCCGTCATACTGGGCCTGCAGGAATCTAGGGAAATGTGTACCAACTCAGAATAGCTCAGTTGAAGAGCAGGAACTAGGAATATGGCACCAACAGCACGTACGATGACACTTAAGCGATGTTGTTAAAGAGCATCTACAATGTGATGCAACAACAATGATGCAACAACAGACGGACTGAACATAGCAGTGCTGAGATACATAATGTAGGGGTTGACCATTCGAGTTTGTGGGTGGGAGGGTTGTTTGAAGGGGGGGGGGGGGGGGGGGGGGGGGGGCGACTTATCTTTTTCCGTATTTTCTGCTGTAAGATGTTCAAGATGTGCCTGATGTGTGTACTTTGCGAGATTTGTGATCAGTTCAAGGTCATCTTTGCTGGGGTTTGAGCGTGTGAAGTGTGTAGGTAGGAATATCATAGCATATGCTGATGGCAATAAAAAAGGGCATATATGACACCACTGCACCATAAACATCAACTCAATACTAGAGAACACTAGAGAACATCTGTTGTGCCACTTACAAGTGGATGTCTTCACAAATCGTTCATTTATATATGTTTTCTTATTGATTTCCTACATAAGTAGCGAAATACAGCATGTGTTACTTTTGAAGTGACTTCATTCATTGCTTTCTTTTCATTTCAGGTTTTGATTTTATATCTAAGTTTTCATTAGATAATGATGATATACGGGTACCGGGCGTCAAGAGGGTCAAGGGGTCAAATGACTTCCAAGTAGCATATAAAATCGGTAGAAGAGCAAAATTACGGAAACGAACCACGTAAGTGAACAAATTACATTCGCCATACTAATGCAAGCTGACACGAGATTGCAACCATTGCTGACATCATCGTATAGAGTAGGGTCAGTTCACATAGTGTTTGGTGGCATGTTTACATCCCATACCTGTCTCAAACCGTGGGTGTCGTCGTGCGCCGATTATGATGCCGATGTAACCGGTGTCGTTGCCCCAGGCCTGCCAGAGGGCATTGAAGACCACACTTTTGTGAATGATCACTAATGTTGTAATTTTAACGAATTATGGCCTCAGCGACATATTGCTGACAACATGTTGCTGTTTTATAGCTGTAATATTGCTGACAAGAGGTTTCCCTGTTATAGCTGTAATATTGCTGACAACAGATTACCGTGTTATGGCTGTAATATTGTTGACAACAGGTGTCCGTGTTATAGCTGTAATATTGCTGACAACAGGTCTCCGTGTTATAGCTGTACGATTGCTGACAACAGGTCTCCGTGTTACAGCTGTAATATTGCTGACAACAGGTTTCCGTGTTATGGCTGTAATATTGCTGACAACAGGTCTTCGTGTTATAGCTGTAATATTGCTGACAACAGATTTCCGTGTTATGGCTGTAATATTGCTGACAACAGGTCTCCGTTTTATAGCTGTAATATTGCTGACAACAGGTCTCCGTGTTATAGCTGTAATATTGCTGACAACAGATTTCCGTGTTATGGCTGTAATATTGCTGACAACAGGTCTCCGTGTTATAGCTGTCGATTGCTGACAACAGGTGGCCGTGTTACAGCTGTAATATTGCTGACAACAGGTCTCCGTGTTACAGCTGTAATATTGCTGACAACTAGTTTCCGTGTTATGGCTGTACTATTGCTGACAACAGGTCTCCGTGTTATAGCTGTAATATTGCTGACAACAGATTTCCGTGTTATGGCTGTAATACTGCTGACAACAGATCTCCGTCTTGTAGCTGTAATATTGCTGACAACAGGTCTCCGTGTTACAGCTGTAATATTGCTGACAACAGGTTTCCGTGTTATGGCTGTTATATTGCTGACAACAGGTCTCCGTGTTATAGCTGTAATATTGCTGACAAGAGGTTTCCCTGTTATAGCTGCAATATTGCTGACAACAGATTACCGTGTTATGGCTGTAATATTGTTGACAACAGGTGTCCGTGTTATAGCTGTAATATTGCTGACAACAGGTCTCCGTGTTATAGCTGTACGATTGCTGACAACAGGTCTCCGTGTTATAGCTGTAATATTGCTGACAACAGATTTCCGTGTTATGGCTGTAATATTGCTGACAACAGGTCTCCGTGTTATAGCTGTAATATTGCTGACAACAGGTCTCCGTGTTATAGCTGTAATATTGCTGACAAGAGGTTTCCCTGTTATAGCTGTAATATTGCTGACAACAGATTACCGTGTTATGGCTGTAATATTGTTGACAACAGGTGTCCGTGTTATAGCTGTAATATTGCTGACAACAGGTCTCCATGTTATAGCTGTACGATTGCTGACAACAGGTCTCCGTGTTATAGCTGTAATATTGCTGACAACAGATTTCCGTGTTATGGCTGTAATATTGCTGACAACAGGTCTCCGTGTTATAGCTGTAATATTGCTGACAACAGGTCTCCGTGTTATAGCTGTAATATTGCTGACAACAGGTTTCCGTGTTATAGCTGTAATATTGCTGACAACAGGTCTCCGTGTTATAGCTGTACGATTGCTGACAACAGGTGGCCGTGTTACAGCTGTAATATTGCTGACAACAGGTCTCCGTGTTACAGCTGTAATATTGCTGACAACAGGTTTCCGTGTTATGGCTGTAATATTGCTGACAACGGGTCTCCGTGTTATAGCTGTAATATTGCTGACAACAGATTTCCGTGTTATGGCTGTAATATTGCTGACAACAGGTCTCCGTGTTATAGCTGTAATATTGCTGACAACAGGTTTCCGTGTTATAGCTGTAATATTGCTGACAACAGGTTTCCGTGTTATAGCTGTAATATTGCTGACAACAGATTTCCGTGCTATACATCCAAGACATCCATGAAGGCATTTCCCTGTAGCACTAACTACAGATCCGTGGCTGTAGTTTTCTTTTTACATTTAGCTTCGATATATCGATATTTTTCTACAATCAACATGTTCGTGTTGCTTGCAGGGATCTGTTTCCCCAGGGTCTGCCCGACCAGTTTTCGTTTGTTAGTACGTTTCGCATGAGTGGCAAGACTCGGCGAGAAAGATGGAATTTATTTCAAATAAGGGATATTCAAGGAAATCCGCAGTTTGGAATACGGCTGGATGGAAAACAGAAAACAATAGAATATTATTATATCAATGTTGAAGGGAAACTGACAACATTAAAGTTTAATAGCAAAGCAAAACAGGTACGTATATACTTTGGTTCGGTTACTTTGGAACGTGTTTAATAATTACGATCGTAATGTTTAAAATTAATTTGTAGCCAAGCACGCATGTCTACCTGTGACTCATGGCTCTGTTTATCAAAACATATGGTAATCGCAACAACTATACCATATTAACTGGATATAATAAAAAAAATCGTGTTGTGTTTGAGAACTTGTATCTATACAATGCTGACCTCTATCTACTTTGTCCCACTTTGTTTCAGCTATTTAGCAAAGACTGGCATAAAATCCATTTTAGCGTAGGTCGGGAATATGTGGAATTTTACCTGGACTGCAAGCCGATCACCTCACAGCCTCTGATACCCGCCAGACAGATCGACGTGAATGGGGAGATCGTGCTGGGGACGCGGGAGCCGGATGGCGGGACGGTACCGGTGAGTGTCCGGCTTACAGACACTGCATGAAATAATTTTACAATGTATATCTAATGCGATAGAGGCGAACAGGCGTATCGTTATGTTTCCTATAGCTGAATACACACAGCTGCATACACAGAAGCTGGGTAGCGCAATGGGGAACGTGTTCGCTCGTAACGCGGAAGACACGGGTTCGATTGCTTGTATTTGTACACTGTGTAAACCCTTTCTTGGTGTTCTCCTCTGTTTTATGACTTGGATATTGTTACGAGCGACTTGCTTTCCACTTATTGATTTTCAGTGATCCTTTCATATAATGTCCACAGCCATTGTACCTTCTACGCCAAGTGGAATATTTTTGTCGTATATTAATCTTTCTCTGGAGTTGAAGTTTTCTGTATACGCATGTATAAAAAAGGCACGGCACAGTGTCAATATTCTCCATAATATACCAATTGCGTGGATCGATGCTTATAATGTCAATCACTGTCAATGTCTGGTCCTGACTCGATTATTTACAGACCGCCGTCATATTGCTGGAATATTGCCGAGTTTGGCGTTAAATAATAAACAAACAAACAAACATAATAAACCAAATTAAACGCTACTATGAATAATCACCTTGTTCATCATTGTGGTATAATCTGAAGAAAGTAAAATCGTCGCATGAACAGCATTAGTATGAAGGTGGGCATGAAACCAAACTCGTCATCCTATCCCCTTCCACTGATGTAACACCAAGTGATCCGTATATGACGAGATGACTGTGTCAGGAACGTAGCTGGGGGAAATCAAGATTTTTAAATTTCTTACATTTTAAATTTTTAAATTGAAATGTAAGAAATCACATTGCAGTACTTTTGTCTTGAACACTCATAACGATTATTTAACACAAACAGAAGCTGGTCAGTGTAACATATGACCCGTGAAGATTCCGGGGTAGATTAGGTCTTCAGCAACCCATGCTTGCCGTAAAAGATGACTTTGCTTGTCGTAAAAGGCGACTAACGGGATCGGGTGGTCAGGCTCGCTGACTTGGTTGATGCATGTCATCGATCCCAAATGCGTGGATTGATGCTCATGATATCAATCACTGGATTGTCTGGTCCAGACTCGATTATTTACAGACCGCCGTCATATAGCTGGAATATTGCTGAGTGCGGCGTTAAACAACAAACCAACCAACCTACCGTGTAACATATCTAAAACAGATATATCACGAATATTCTTACCACGTTCTTTACATGACATGTTTTCAGTATTATTGTGATCAAACCCAGATATCCTTATAAAATATAGATTGTCAATGCAAGAGAATAACCACTCTAGATTATCCACCGAAACAGATTCAATATGGCGTCAAGGGAAAATAGCTGTGAAAATTAAATGTATGGACCACTGAAAATCAGTTGACACCAGGTGTTCCCGGAAAGGGTAAAGGAAATTTAATGTAACAAGCAAACAACATCGAACCAACTCATCAACAATAATTTTGACACGGGTAGGCGGGTCAACCTATAAATTAATAAAATATCATGTCAATATAACAAACGACTGAAAGAAGAACACACAGAAGCACTTTATTAAAAGTTATTATATTTTATTTTATTTTTGTGACGATGGCAAGGTGTAAGGACTTGCTTGTTGTGCTCCATGGTATCTGTGCCACTTGATGTGTCAATAACTCCGTGTTTCTCCTCCCCGCAGTTTGAGCTGCAGTGGATCAACCTGCACTGCGACCCCTCCAAGCCGGAAAGAGAACAGTGCGATGAACTCCCTGTAAGTGTATATAATACCATAAGCATGCATGTCGGACACTGATATAGGCGAATCCAGAGGGAGAAAAGGGAGGCGGGTGCTCCCTTTTAAAAATGCTTGATAAGCCCTTGCACCGTACCGTGTTTCAGAAAGGTTAAATTGCAATGATACATTAAGATGTTTTTATGTAAATGTAAATGTAATTTTATATAATTGTGTCTGATCTGCAGGAATATGTCTCAGTCTGTTTTCGGTTGACCAAACAATGTGTTAAGCCCAGTGGTTACATTAGGCAACTGAATGCTATGTGTTTGTGTCGATATTTCATATCCAGTGCATATCAGTATCAGTAAATATCCAGTAAATGGCAAAGTAGACATCCAGACATGCCGACATTACAAATCTGTTAGCTCCTTATCCTTATAAATATTTATTTGTTGCTATGGAAATTCCATGTAGAATTATTTGTTGTGAGTATAAGTCTTATTTTAAGATGAATATCCTTAACAGGTTGTTTATATATTTAAGAAGTTTTTTTATTTTGTTTAATCAAAATTTTCACTTTCAGCTAAAATATAACCTGAAACACGTTATGCTCGTCGCTTGCAGCGCCTTGTAACTCGCCAATCAGCTGCCTGCTAAAGGAATAGCGTTTAACACATTAATTGAAACAACAGCACACAGAATTAAAGGGGCTTAGCACTGAGAGCATCATGCCCTTTTCGCAATAATAAGATAGGATAGAAAAGGCAACCCTGTCGTACCCAGCTTGGGACGGACATACTCCTTCCAGCGCAGGTGGTGCTGCTGAGCTGCCGATACGCTGTATTCTGCTTCAACATGTATATCTCTGCTGCTCGTGTCCTTCACAATACTTGGACGCACTGATTCCATTCAGAATAACGTACTTAAGCAACGGAACTTACACAGCATACTCCACCCAAGCTTCCTCGATGTAGTAAGGATTGAACGGAGGGTTCCCATAGGACCATATCTATATATGAGAGTGACAGTCACATGGATTATGCCCGAACTAGGCATTAATGTGAATCAGATTCATACTAATCAATTTGAAGAATGAACGTCAAGATGCACTTTAAAGACTAACTATCATACAATACTGAAAGATTGCTGACTAATCATGTTTTGCGGTACTCATGCTCTCATTGTCTGATTTGCATTGCCGGGATTATTTTGATAGACAGGCTAGCCTAAGACGAAGCTGAACGTACATGAATGCACAGTTGGTAATGTAATAGTTATTTTCACAAGAAACAAACACTTATACAACATGTGTTTGTTTATTTACTGCAGTCATTTGACTTAATGTTATATGGTGTACCACGTGCTATTATGCAAGCGACTCCCCACTTTTGTAAATGTTATATACAAATAGACGCACTTAAAGTATTCCGAATTTATAGCTTTATGTCATGTTGTTTGTTTCCATGGATCAATGTAGCTTTCTTTATCTCATGGTGAAGGGTCGATGTTGTATATTCTGTCATATTCCGTGTGGTGACGGGACCTCACGTGGAATCTCTAGAGATTTGGTCACGTGCTTGACTTTTACTTTCTCTTTCTCAGCCCCCCAAAAAGAAGATAAAACCTCCGCCACCGCCGAAACAGGTAGAGTGCCACGCCAGACAGAGGCGCAGAAAGCTGGCCTTATATTTCCCATTGCATTTGCATGTCGCTGTTGTTGATGTCGCTAGGCACAAGTGAACACTGACGTCGCTGCTGTCACCGCTGGCGTATATTCAGCTCTGGTGTTTACTTCTGGCTAGCAAATGGCCTGTTCCTGTTGTTTGTGAATGTGTTGTTATATTTGGCGATTTATACATAGAACTGACGAATCTCTCTCCTTCTTCAGAAATGTGTAAACGTTACTTGCATAGTTGGACATTTGTAACCCCTGCTGGAAGGTGCGATCAGCCTATGTTAGCCTATATTCGTGTCCCGGCTGACCGTGCGCTTCTTCCAAGTTATACAAGTCTCCAATATATGAAGAAAAACGTTCACACAGATTTTCTATAAACCATAATTACAACTTGAATAATTGAAACGACTTTTGAAACATTTGTTGTGCGTGTGTATAGTGGTGTGTTTTGTCAGTTGCAGTATGTTGTCTCCCCTTTCCGCGCGTAAACTTCAAATTAAGCCAAAATGACTGCATGTGTGTATGTCTTGCAGAGGAAGGCTAGCTGTGACAAGCCCTGCCCACGCGGACCGCCTGGTTTGAATGGGACACAGGTTGGTTTTGTACAAGTTTGAAACTGAGTCGGTAACTGTAGTATACTTAGTTTATTTACAGGCTCACGTGACCTGGGATAACGCGGACTGGTGTTGATTTCATTTGCTGTTTGGGTTTCAGTTCCTTGTTTGATGGTCTGTGCCGTGCACTAACAATTAATCTTTGTTTTTTAATGATGATTTTGTGAAAGAAATATCAGTTAATTTAATAAAAAAAACCATAATATTTGAACGTCTTTCTTACCTTTGATAACTGCCACATGCCTTTCTAAAATACGTCATACAAAAGTGTTTCCCTGTGTACTTCTGATGCAACCGTTCTTCACAATACTATCTGCAACTGTGTTAAAGTTGCCCTCTGCAGTGTTAGGTATTCAGTTAGTGGCGACTGGGAGAAGCCGTACCGCCGGGTAAGGCCTGTATCATAACCACGTTATACCCCCACCATACCCGCACCCCACGTAAACTACCCCACCATGGAATACACAAGTATAAGCATGACGAAGATTAACGTCCCTCCCGATCCCTACCCGATGTACCCCGAATATATTCCCGACCTCCTTCGTGTGGTGTAATCTCCAAGGATGAAACTATGTATAAAGACTCTACATGGCACCTGCCATGCTAAACCACATGTACGTACTGCAATGTATAAGCATTAGTGTTTAACGAGGGGAGGTTGGGTATCGTTCGCTATCACGCTGAAGGTCCGGGCTCGATTCTCCACTTGGGAGGGGCGGTCGGGTAGCCTAGTGGTTAAAGCGTTCGCTCCTTACGCCGAAGACCCGAGTTCGATTCCCGACATTGGTACAATGTGTGAAGCTCATTTCCGGTGTCCCCCGCCGTGTTATTGCTGGAATATTGATAAAAGCGGCGTAAACTATACTCACACACTCACTCATTTCTGGTGTCCCCCGCCGTGTTATTGCTGGAATATTGCTAAAAGCGGCGTAAACTATACTCACACACTCACTCATTCCTGGTGTCCCCCGCCGTGTTATTGCTGGAATATTGCTAAAAGCGGCGTAAATCATACCCACTCACTCACTCCCCACTTGGGTATATGTGTGAGGCCCTTTTCTGGTATCCTCCGCTGTCGTACTGCTATAGTACTGTGTAACAATGAAGATGTCAACGCCGTTAGTATGAGTAACAACTGTAGATTTGTGTCTAGGGAAATGCCGGGCGGTCGGGTAGCCTAGTGGTTAAAGCGTTCGCTCGTCACGCCGAAGACCCGGGTTCGATTCCCTACATAGGTACAATGTGTGAAGCCCATTTCTGGTGTCCCCCGCCGTGATATTGCTGGAATATTACTAAAAGCGGCGTAAAACCACACTCACTCACTCACTCTAGGGAAATGTCAGTGTATCTGGCTGGAATGATAATTTACTTTTCGGTGGTTTGTTTCTGATGGGACAGAAGCCCGAAACACATGGAATTCTTACAAGTTGATCGAGACAATAACGATGTTGTTGTATGGTCGGGTGGTTCATCAAATCAGGGAATAGGATTTCGACATCGGGGGTTGGGAATGGAGGATGAGTGTAAAGTTGGATAACATGGCATGGAAGGTTGTCATGACACCAAGACTGAAGTTTGACCTGTGTGTTGTAGGGTCCCCCCGGGCCTCCAGGTCCAGCGGGTCCTATTGGGCCTGCAGGCGCCGACGGCAAGGATGGGCAGGACGGGAAGATGGGGCAGAAAGGGGAGTCAGGCCAGGACGTGAGTAGCCGCTTGCCATGGTGATGCAGTGGATCGGAGAACTTACTTTCTCAGTAACAGAATCATGAACAATGAACATGGACACGACTGCCGTGCATAGCACTAGAATTAAAACTAAAATAAAACATAAAATACTCCGTATGTCTTCTTACTAACTACCCGTGTATGTGAAGGAACTTAAGAGCGCCATACACTGGTTTACACTGGTTATTGTTATGATAACGGTACTGTCCACTGTTCATTGTTTATGTCCTCTTGTCTTGAAATCTCAGACTCATTCTTCAGTTTCTTTTTTGTGAAGTGAACTAACTGATTGACCTAACGCCACTCTGCATGTACATAGACGTAACACAATAACAGACCAGCTGAGAATATCTTGACAACATTCGAGGCAAATCGGCCATCAGATATCTAACGTGCAAAATAAATATGGTATGTGATTTGGTACGGTAACCATGGAAACATTGTGACGTCATATGTTGCCAGGGAAATCCCGGACGGCCAGGAAACACCGGCAAGCCAGGCAAAGACGTGAGTGGGCCATGGTTGAACATGAACACACTGGGTGTATACAGCATTGCCAAACACACCTCAATACAGCCCTTGTAATGTCACAGGACATCTGTTAAGATTTTCAGCTTACATCTGAGTGATTTTTTCTACTTTTTTTCTGAGCCTGATCCTGATCCTAACGACAATAACATTATTTGACATATAGACTAGATCTGCCTGTTTAACGTTTGATGTTAACATCTTAACGTAGATGAGTGCAGTAACTCGATAGTATAGATGACTGAAACTGTGCATGTAAAGCCCGCACTAATCCCTGGCACCTAGGTAAGTGAGGGCAGGTGCTTGTTGCGGTGATAGAGGTAAACCTCATGTGTCTCCAAACAGGGACAGATTGGCAGGACAGGCCCAACAGGACCCCGAGGAACCACGGGCCGCACGGTAAGTCCATTTTGTACACTGTCTGCAGGGGGATATCAGAACACGTGTTCTTATTGGTGAACACTATTTGTAATAATGGCAGAAAGTATCTGATCTATATCCGGAGCTGATGATTAAACGCTATATTCAATACTTTGATATGTTGTTGTGGTAACTGCCTCCGTGGTCTAGTGGTAGAGCGTCCGCCCGGAGAGCAGACAGTCGGGGGTTCGATCCCCGGCGTCAAATAAAAAGACGTTAAAAGATGGTACTTGTTGTTACCCTGCCTGGCGCTCGGCATTAAGGGGCTAAAACAAGGACTGGTCGGCTCGGAGTCAGTATTCTGTGTCTGAGTGGGGTATTCATGTTAAACTGCGGCATGGTATCTCAGTGGGCTTGCTCTATAAAATTGGCATCAGTCCGGACTAGTACAAGCACACACACACACATACCTTGTGTGATTCTACATCGTTTACTAAGTTGGTGTGTGTCAATGAGTCCGTGTATTGCAGGGTCCGAGGGGACCTCGTATCATTCAACATCGTTTACCAAGATGGTGTGTGTCAATGAGTCCATGTATTGCAGGGTCCGATGGGACCTTGTATCATTCAACATCGTTAACAAGTTGGTGTGTGTCAATGAGTCCGTGTCTTGCAGGGTCCGAGGGGAGCAATAGGAGATGAAGGGCCGCAAGGGTTGAAGGTAAGTCGTTGTACCTGGACCTGTATGACTCCAATAAATTCAAACTTATTCTGTATTGCTAAATGCCTTACCTTTTATCATTCGACGTCTACCTGCTCTGTGGAGGACATTGGTTTGTCACTCTGTTCATCGATGCCATACCACGTTGCTGAAGATCCGGCATAAAAACTGGACTTTAGCAACCCATGCTTGTCATAAGAGGCGACTAACGGGATCGGGTTGTCAGTTTCGCTGAATGGGTTGTTGCACGCCATCGTGTCCTATTTGCGTAGATCGATGCTCATGGAGTCAATCACTGGATTGTCTGTTCCAGACTCGATTATTTACAGACCGTCGTAATATAGTTGAAATATTGCTGAGTGCGGCGTTAAACAACAAATAACAACAACTTAGCTGCTGGTAGTACTTCAGACGCTGCCGGTCCAGAACACCTGAAGTGGGTAATGAGTACCTTGACAAATACCAGCATTTCCGGGTTACTAATCCGAGGAGGTTAGGTGTGTTTGCAATGTCCCGTACACTGTCCCGTGTTTCCTGTAGGGCTCGGCCGGAAGTCCGGGGAAGACCGGAAGTCAGGGACCAGTGGGCCCCGCGGGCAAGTCGGTGAGTGATCTGTCTTCTTCACAAGGATAATGGATACAAGTAGGAATAACCCGTTTCAAACATATCGCTGTCGTACTGATATATAATACTATTTCACATGCTTTTGTTTACTGGTACAGTAAACTACGTTTATAACGAACACGCTTATAACGAACTGACGGATATAACGAACCTACTTTTTTGTCCCGACTATTTGCTGTCGTTATGCTGTATATATGCTTATAACGAACCACGGTTGTAACGAACTAAAATTGATGGTCCCTTTGAGTTCGTTATAACCGTAGTTTACTGTACTTGGCTGCGGCCAGATCCCATGCGACTGTACGGATGTTTTCTGAGAATCAGCCATTCAGATTTACCAGTTTTGAAACATGACAGTGGCAATATTAAATTTGTAATCCTTTCCATCTTACACATGTGTTAATAGGAAAATATCTTTTTTTTTAAATAAACTTTTCTGTCAGATTATTACTCATTGCAAATATATTTTTTGTGGTGTGGATTTGGTGATGAATGATGACGTCATTTGATTGTTTATGACGTCATTCTTGTAGATCGAGGGTGAGAAAGGTACACGCGGGGAGCAAGGAGAACAAGGACTACAGGGCCCAGAGGTAGGCCTGACTGGGGACTTCCGGGGTCAGCGTCACATGACGTCAATCTATATCCCTTATATCGATATTGTATATTGACAGAGATAAGAATATGAGCACAAGAAGTGTGTTATTTATTTTAATAAGGGAAACTATCAAATGCATATTATTACGTCACTTGCTACAAATGATCTACGTAAATGATATATATTTAAATCACTGGCGCCAAATGATTTCATGTCTGTACACTAGTATTTTACAGGTTCAACATAAATCAATATGTATACGTAAATCACCGGGTAGAAATAAAGGCATACACGTCCAAACCATAGTTTTTCACGAGGTTTGGTATATCCCTGATGTATAGGCCGGCAGAGCTCCAGATAAGCTTTTGGTGTTGTGGGTATTTTACCCATGCATTTTAAAATCATTGCGTATGAGTAATTCTATTTGGGTATTCAAATTTCTGTTACCCACTAGTTTGTACACATGTGGGTATTTAAGTTAAATATTTAAAAACACTATTCATCTAGTCCCTGCAAAGTGGTGTCATATGGGTTTCGAGAGCTTTATAGGACGTTACCACGATACTTCCACAAGAAAGTGTGATGGCAAATGATCATGATGCAACTGTCATCATGGAGTTTGGCAAGGTTGAAGGAATGCCCGTTTAAAATTTCAAAATAAGTTGCTGATTTGCTAATCGAATACACAGGGTTACTTCACAATATTTTGATGATACGCACAAGTATTATTTTTGTAGCGTATCTGTAATGTTCGTTGCGTATTTGATACGCTTGGATTTTATTTTACTGCGTATTTCTGCATTTCTGATGCGTATTTTACGCAGACACGCAGCTTATCTGGAACTCTGATAGGTGTTAACACGTTCATTAGCTAGAACCATGGTCACATGCTGCGGGAACACTGAGTTAAGTACTCCACTGACACGTGTCTGTTTCAGGGACCCCGAGGTCGGCCGGGGCCACGTGGACGAGGGGGGCCGGGGGGAAAGAAGGTACGGTATTGAGGGGTCCTACATGTATGTGTTAGTGAAAATAGGTAAATTTGTCTTCTTAAACTCAAAGATGTCAAATTAGAAATGATTTGCTAAATGTTTTGGAGCACAGATTTGAAGTACGGCATTATTTTAACAGTACCAATATTCACAAGGTCCAAGCATTCAGTCAACTGTACTGGTGAAACTGTATTATAACTGGTGCTGGTTCAACTGGTGGCGACACCCGGTGGTCAGTCCATGGTGCTTTACTACCCAATACTGACCAATCAGAAACACAGGTTTGCATAAGACTGTCAAAACTCTCAACCGGATCTTTAATAAAATTTAAAAACAAAACAAAATATAGCCACACGGGTTCTTCCCTTCCTATTTGTCTTGGCCTCAGACGGGACACCCGATGTCTTTAGCAGTTATACATCGGGATATACAGAGTCTTTATATGGCGTTTGGTTTTGGATATGATGTAACGACAAGGCTGAATTCACAGCAATTCACAGCTCATGCGTTGTGTCAACATGCACCCTTGTTCCAGTCCTTGATTTCCGGGTTAGAATAGGTCCCCAGCAACCCACGCTGGCCGTACTGCGGGGATTCCGGGTTAGAATAGCTCCTCAAAAACCCACGCTGGTCAGATTGCGGGGATTCCGGGTTAGAATAGCTCCTCAAAAACCCACGCTGGCCGTACTGCGGGGATTCCGGGTTAGAATAGCTCCTCAGAAACCCACGCTGGTCAGATTGCGGGGATTCCGGGTTAGAATAGCTCCTCAGCAATGTATGGTTGTCGTGGATCGGGGGGGGGGGGGGGGGGGGGGGAGATCATTGTTCACAGTATGAATAAGTGGATTGTCTGGTCCAGACTCTATTATTTACAAACCGCCGTCATGTAGCTGGAATATTGCTGAGTGCGGCGTTAAACAACAAACAAACAAACGTGTCAATTGCTGCCACCAAAAGTTGTCCCACCATTTGGCAGCCGTGGGCACATCATGTGTTAACAATCTACAGCCTACAATTGCAATTGTTCAGCAGTTACGAGATTCCATGCTCCCTCCTCCACCCCCAACACCTGGAACCAGTCCTGTCAACCATCCCCTCCCCCCAGCCCCCACAAAATCCACCCCCACCACCTGGAACCAGCCCGTCAACCCTCTACCTTCCTGCTATTTGCCAGCGCGCTGCACGCTGACCCTATGACCTGATCTTACTTGACCCGAATTTTGAAAATCCCCGAAATCTCTTTGGAATTATCAATACAATAGAATCAATTTCACACGGAGACGTGAAAATGTGGAGTTAATCCGTCAGTGAAGCCGGTCTTCCATTTAACGCAAGTAGTCCCAGTTTCCCTGCTCTATATATAGAGAACGTGTACACATTCTGGCGGAGCAATTCCGTCTCGATATGGAATGAATTATCATCGCTATATACATTACACTACTGTTTTAGATTCGAATGCCCCGGCGCCTTATTGTGTAATGAATTTTATCAGGATAATTTATAACTTTTTACATCAAAGCATTTCAGCATATGAAACAACAACAGTGGAGAAAGTACGAATTATTGTAATTTTATGCGGTTGCGGAAATTTGGAATATGCCGATCCACTTGTTATTTTGCAAACTTTAAATTGCCAACACATGAAATAATGTTCAGATAATTCTTGACAGATCTGCCTCAGAATAGCCCAGACGTGCTGATAACAGCGTTACATGTGCAATGGCGGGTTCACCGCTGTGCGGGTTCACATGGTTCGCGTGGACACAGTGAACATGAGCCGTTCCTCAGTCCTCGAGATATCTATACCTCCTCTGTCAGCGGTGGTTCGCATACTGGCGCACCTTAAACACCCGTGTACTGGGCGGGGTTCGCCAAAACACGTGCTTTTGTCTTTGTGTATATTCACATCACCTTCACGTGCTGTTGGCTGCACGTGCCATGGCGGCCATCTTGTATGGGATATGAATTGCAGAACTTGTTGATATCCTGCCACTGTCATGTGGTGACCAACGGTGGGATGTAGGGCTACCACCGCGTCATTCATTACGCGGCACCTGTTCGTGTTTAGGACATGGCGTATGCAGACGGATCTGGGCCGAATGTCTGGTTAATACAGAACTAGGCTAACTCAGGCTCCCAGTTGTTATAAATGTCTTTCATTCAGTTACCTAGAGTAGGTGTGGGGTTTCAGATTCCCGCATGGCAATAGTTAGGCCTTGTGTCGCGACCTTTGGCTCGGCTATATTCAGACCACGAGTCCCAATTACTGGACAGGATATATTGAGACCATGAGAACCCGTGAAGACCCGGGGTAGAATAGGTCTTCAGCAACCCAACTTGTCGTAAGAGGCGACTAACGGGATCGGGTGGTCAGGCTCGCTGACTTGGTTGATGCATGTCTTCGTATCCTAATTGCATGGATCGATGTTCGTGATGTCAATCACTGGATAGTCTGGTCCAGACTCGATTATTTACAGACCGCTGTCATATATGGCTGGAATATAGTGCAACGTTAAACAACAAAGAAACAAAATCTGAAAATCCTCCCCTCGAAATCTTTTGACGAAAAGGTCGCTATTCCTTCACATTACACGTTCGAAACGATTTTCGAATCAGATATAGATGGGACGATCTTGTGAAAAAATTGATGTCAAATTTAGTGGAGCGCCGATAGATGCTGTGGGTGTGGTCAGTTAAATTAGTTAAATTAAAATACTTTGCAATCGTAGGCGAAATGGTTCTCTATCATACTGACAATATGAAGAAAGCACAGAGGCTATGTCTGATTCACCGCCACAGTGTTGAGAAACGTTTTGATACAATTATATCCCCATGTATTGTGTTAAGCCGCCCACTCTCTGAGGATGCTGTGGCCTTTTACAAGTCTCAGTTTTGTCCTTGTGTAGCTTAACCTTGATAACTTCAAAATGGCTATGTGCTTTGATGTCGCGCGAGATGTACAGAGTTATCTCCCTTCGATACCTCGAGAATTTGAAGTGGTCGGTTTATCGCCAAGCTCCGTGCAGCACTTGAGAGGAACAATTGCAGTGGACGCCCGCGTGACACCGGCCCTATCACGACAACTTACACCTCGAGAAAATAAACAATTCAAGTGTGGAATGAAATACGTCTTTCAGCAGCCTCAGTTTGAGTTTGTTTCAAGTGGAAGAATTATTTGAAATTTAAATAAACCTCGAGATCTAGAATCCACTGATTAACTCGATTTATCGTAGTGATCTAAAAAATACGTACTAATTAGCTCCTTGTAGGTGTTCTTCAAGCTTGATATTTACCAGCGTGTTTAGACATAAAGCACTGTGCATTCTCTAATGTGTAAAAAATGTCGTTAGATCTGGCTTAATGTGTCGACAAACAGTCGAGGTGTTGTATAATGTCCCACTTCTGTGTGTGCAGGGCGAGCCAGGGAAGATGGGGACTGATGGAGAGCAAGGAGCGAGGGGATATCCGGTGAGAACAGCTGCCATAAACTGCATCTCTAGTTAACGGCCATGGCCACAGCTGCCATAAACTGCATCTCTAGTTAACGGCCATGGCCACACCTGCCTGGTAGCTGATAAATACCAATACGAAAATAGTTTTCAATAATAATATCTGATAATGTGCCATGAACTACGGAGATACATTTAACCAAGCGATGCTGTTGCTCATGAGCGTGTGGATCTTTTACGAGCGCTTCTGATGGAGTGTATTTCGCACGGAGAGATGTAGAGATGTTTCTGTGTAGATGTGTCGTGTGACTTATTCATTGTTCATTGTATTCTGCACCAGGGTGCGGCCGGTGATCCGGGAGTTCCAGGACCCCCCGGTCCCCCTGGGTTGCCAGGGCAACCGGTGAGTACCAATATGCATGCTTGTCTCTCAGTGGCAATTTAGAGAAAAAGGTTCTGAATACCCATGCTTGTCTCCCCATGGGGATCATGACTAAATAGGTCGCCAGCACTCAATGTCTGTCTTGTCGTAAATATCAGAGTAGGTCGCCAACACTCAATGTTTGTCTTGTAAATATCAGAGTAGGTCGCCAACACTCAATGTTTGTCTTGTCGTAAATATCAGAGTAGGTCGCCAGTACTTCATGCATGTCTATCATTCTTGATCAGATCAGATTAGGTCACCAGTACCCCATGTCTCTCATTCGTGTTCAAATCAGATTAGGTCACCAGTACCCCATGTCTCTCATTCGTGTTCAGATCAGGTCACCAGTACCCCATGTCTCTCATTCGTGTTCAGATCAGATTAGGTCACCAGTACCCCATGTCTCTCATTCGGGTTCAGATCAGGTCACCAGTACCCCATGTCTCTCATTCGTGTTCAGATCAGGTCACCAGTACCCCATGTCTCTCATTCGTGTTCAGATCAGATTAGGTCACCAGTACCCCAAGTCTCTCATTCGGGTTCAGATCAGATTAGGTCACCAGTACCCCATGTCTCTCATTCGGGTTCAGATCAGGTCACCAGTACCCCATGTCTCTCATTCGGGTACAGTTCAGATTAGGTCACCAGTACCCCATGTCTCTCATTCGTGTTCAGATTAGGTCACCAGTACCCCATGTCTCTCATTCGTGTTCAGATCAGGTCACCAGTACCCCATGTCTCCCATTCGTGTTCAGATCAGATTAGGTCACCAGTACCCCATGTCTCTCATTCCTGTTCAGATCAGGTCACCAGTACCCCATGTCTCTCATTCCTGTTCAGATCAGGTCACCAGTACCCCATGTCTCTCACTCCTGTTCAGATCAGATTAGGTCACCAGTGCCCCATGTCTCTCATTCCTGTTCAGATCAGATTAGGTCACCAGTGCCCCATGTCTCTCATTCCTGTTCAGATCAGGTCACCAGTACCCCATGTCTCTCATTCCTGTTCAGATCAGGTCACCAGAACCCCATGTCTCTCATTCGTGTTCAGATCAGATCAGGTCACCAGTACCCCATGTCACTCATTCGGGTTCAGATCAGGTCACCAGTACCCCATGTCTCTCATTCCTGTTCAGATCAGGTCACCAGTACCCCATGTCTCTCATTCGGGTTCAGATCAGATCAGGTCACCAGTGTCCCAAGTCTCTCATTCGGGTTCAGATCAGATTAGGTCACCAGTACCCCATGTCTCTCATTCGGGTTCAGATCAGGTCACCAGTACCCCATGTCTCTCATTCGTGTTCAGATCAGGTCACCAGTACCCCATGTCTCTCGTTCAGATCAGATTAGGTCACCAGAACCCCATGTCTCTCATTCATGTTCAATCTAAGTCGCGAGATACTTCCCATGATGCACTGCGCTTGATAACTCGGCCTGCAACACTGATTTGCAGCACACTTCTTTCATGTCACAACCAGTTTCATTCGCCGGCCACCCTCGTGGCATCCTTCATCGTTTAACACAACTAAACGCAACCACCCCCACATTTAAACCAGTTGTCTTCAAACGATCCTGCCATCACACATACACACAGAGGTGTTTAAACCTACAAAAGTAGGAGCGCTTTTAAATCGTTTAATTCTTGCCATTTGGTATGATAATGTTTGCCAGACAACTAGCTGCAGTACCACCACTACCAGAGGGAGCTTCTGTTTGAACAAAAAATCAAAGGACAATATATTTGTTGTACTGACTTCAAGGAAGTGTTTATTGTTTTGGTCCTGATCAGACGGCTGGCGCAGTTTATTGTGAGATATCTTCTCGCTGTCCAACAGTATCAGAATCAGGGATCTCAGGAAAAGCGCAATCAGCATTCGATGTGTCAACAAGAGTAGAACAATGACACAATGCAAAACGCGCCTGATCTCAACCTGACCCTGAGATTTCTGCCTGTGTCACACTCCGAACGACGGAAACATCCCTAATATGCTGACGAATACACACAGTGCGCGTATTTTGAGGGATTCGTGATAAATGAAGCAGAAGTGTTTAAATGTAATCTTTTAGTAAGTCATTTATCGCAATGCCATATAATCCTCGGGAGCGGTATTTATATAAGCATTGTTACTTGTTTACCAATCCCCATTTGATTCTAAATGTATGTGATGAAATAGAAATATGTTTAAACAAAATGAAGCGAACATAAAATCCTCATTGCTGTTACAGTTGATCCTCATTTTCCGTTTCGTTACAGGGCACTCCGGGGGAAATCACATCCAACGACATTAAACCAGTGCCCGTGAGTTATCTCCCCTTTGTATAAGATACTATTAGCCAAACTATGGATCCGGTCACCTCAGTATAACGCCATCAGTTATGTGTAATGATGCGGTGTTTATGAAAAAATATCAGTGATGTGTAATGATGCGGTGTATATGAAAACATATCAGTGATGTGTAATGATGCGGTGTGTGTGAAAACATATCAGTTATGTGTAATGATGCGGTGTATATGAGAACATATCAGTGATGTGTAATGATGCGGTGTATATGAGAACATATCAGTGATGTGTAATGATGCGGTGTATATGAAAACATATCAGTGATGTGTAATGATGCGGTGTGTGTAAAAACATATCAGTGATGTGTAATGATGCGGTGTATATGAAAACATATCAGTGATGTGTAAAGATGCGGTGTATATGAGAACATATCAGTGATGTGTAATGATGCGGTGTATATGAGAACATATCAGTGATGTGTAATGATGCGGTGTATATGAAAACATATCAGTGATGTGTAATGATGCGGTGTATATGAGAACATATCAGTGATGTGTAATGATGCGGTGTTTATGAAAACATATCAGTGATGTGTAATGATGCGGTGTATATGAAAACATATCAGTGATGTGTAATGATGCGGTGTATATGAGAACATATCAGTGATGTGTAATGATGCGGTGTGTGTAAAAACATATCAGTGATGTGTAATGATGCGGTGTATATGAGAACATATCAGTGATGTGTAATGATGCGGTGTGTGTAAAAACATATCAGTGATGTGTAATGATGCGGTGTATATGAAAATATATCAGTGATGTGTAATGATGCGATGTATATGAGAACATATCAGTGATGTGTAATGATGCGGTGTATATGAGAACATATCATTGATGTGTAATGATGCGGTGTATATGAAAACATATCAGTGATGTGTAATGATGCGGTGTATATGAGAACATATCAGTGATGTGTAATGATGCTGTGTATATGAAAACATATCAGTGATGTGTAATGATGCGGTGTATATGAGAACATATCAGTGATGTGTAATGATGCGGTGTATATGAGAACATATCAGTGATGTGTAATGATGCGGTGTATATGAAAACATATCAGTGATGTGTAATGATGCGGTTTTAAGAAAACATATCAGTGATGTGTAATGATGCGGTGTATATGAAAACATATCAGTGATGTGTAAAGATGCGGTGTATATAAATGAGAACATACCAGTGATGTGTAATGATGCGGTGTATATGAAAACATATCAGTGATGTGTAATGATGCGGTGTATATGAGAACATATCAGTGATGTGTAATGATGCGGTGTATATGAAAACATATCAGTGATGTGTAATGATGCGGTGTATATGAAAACATATCTGTGATGTGTAATGATGCGGTGTATATGAAAACATATCAGTGATGTGTAAAGATGCGGTGTCTATGAGAACATATCAGTGATGTGTAATGATGCGGTGTGTGTAAAAACATATCAGTGATGTGTAATGATGCGGTGTATATGAAAACATATCAGTGATGTGTAAAGATTCGGTGTATATGAGAACATATCAGTGATGTGTAATGATGCGGTGTATTTGAGAACATATCAGTGATGTGTAATGATGCGGTGTATATGAAAACATATCAGTGATGTGTAATGATGCGGTGTATATGAAAACATATCAGTGATGTGTAATGATGCGATGTATATGAGAACATATCAGTGATGTGTAATGATGCGGTGTATATGAGAACATATCAGTGATGTGTAATGATGCGGTGTATATGAAAACATATCAGTGATGTGTAATGATGTGTATGAAACCATATCAGTTATGTGTAATGATGCGGTGTGTGTGAGAACATAGCAGTGGTGTGTAGGTCATCAGATTGTTATCACATGGTTATCACATGATTATCACATGGTTATCACGTCTAATTTCAGGGTCCAGTGGGTCCGCAAGGTGTTCCCGGAGCGAGAGGGGAGAGAGGCCTTAAGGTGTGTGTGCACAAGTACTATTAATGTTATATCAATTACAAGTAATGTTACTTGGGTAGTGGGCAGGTAGTATACTGTGTAGAAAATGGGTAGAATAACGGGTAGAAGATGGGTAGTACACAACAATGAAAATAGGTAGTATACTTAATAGAAATCGGTTGGTAAAGCGGGTAGTATTTATTGTATACTTTGGTTATAAATAGCTGTGTTTGTATAAGTTTTGAGTGCACTAGAATTGAAATTTACGTACACTGTATTTCTGTGATGTTCCTTGACTATAATAACACTACCGATATCTGTGACCTGACCATTCCAGGGGTCTAAAGGTGAATACGGCACTGATGGATCGAAAGGGACGAAGGTAAGGGTAGTACGTCAATCCGCAACGTTTGTTTGGTGTGTTCATCACGTTCCCTTGCATACCAGTAATAACAGGGGCCTTGCTGTACATACCCTAGTAATGCCATCGTTCTACATAGTTTAATAATGACCCGGGTATACATGTCGTAATTATGACCCCGTTATACATGGCATCATAATTACTCCGTTATATATATCGTTATGATGACTCAGTTATAAATATCCTAGTGGTTAAAGCGTTCGTACGTCACGTCGGGTTCGATTCCCGACATGGGTACAACGTGTGAAGCCCATTTCTGGTGTCCCCCGCCGTGATATTGCTGAGATATTGCTAAAAGTGGCGTAAAACCATTCTCACTCACTCACTTTAAATATCGTCATTATGACCCCATTTATACATATCGTTATAATGACATTGTTATATATCGTAATAATGACATCGTTATACATCGTAGTAATTAATGACCTCGTTATACGTCGTAATTATGACCCCGTTATGTATAGTAATTAATACCTCGTTATACATCGTAATAATGACCCCGTTATATATCGTAATTTTATTACCCCGTTATACATCGTAGTAATGACCCCATTATACACAATAATTATGACCTTGTTATACTTTGTAGTAATGACCCCGTTAGAAATATTGTAATTATGACCTCGTTTCAACCTAGAAATGACCCCGCTATACATCATAATCATGACCCCGCTATACATCATAATTATGACCCCGTTATACATCGTGGTAATGACCCCGTTATGCATAGTAATTATGACCCCGTTATACATCGCAATTATGACCCCGTTATACATCGTAATTATGACCCCATTATCATGGTTATACATCATAATTATGACCCCGTTATACATCGTAATAATGACCCCGTTATACATCGCAATTACGACTCCGTTATACATCGCAATTATGACCCCGTTATACATCGTAATTATGACCCCGCTATACTTAAAATCATAAAGAACCAAATGAACGTTTAGCAATAATAATCCCGTTAAACAAGTACAGGACGGTACAGGGTAAGGTAGTCCTGTTACCGTTATGGCCGAGTTATATGTGTAGAAACATTGGCCGAGGAACCCGTATAAAGCGGTCATTGTGACTAAACAGAAGGTACTGTTACAATTTGTCGTCATGCAGACCACGTGAAAGTTCACTCCGTTGCACTTTTTCTAACATATCACCTTTCATAAAATAATTCTGTATGTAGTCAAGGTATTCATAATGGTTTTATAATAATAATAATAATAATAATAATAATAACAATAATAATACCTGAACAATATTTGCATGCAACTTAACAAGTCATTATTCAATCAAATATTATAAACTCGTTTCATCTACAGTTTTCACTGCAAAGTCTTTCCCCATTACCTGGAAATATATCTGTATGTACACCCTTGTGTGTTGCTATATCTACTGTTTGTGTTGCTATGCCAACTGTTTGTGTTGCTATGTCAACAGGGTGAGCGGGGTGATCGCGGTCCTACGGGAAAGGACGGTGCTGATGGCTTGACGGTAAAGGTTTAACCTGTCCTCGTTCGAGATATCCACTGTACTGCTTACACACGTACGCTGACACCCTTAAAGTACCATTGAGTGCTGCAGAATATAATAACAAAATATTACATACAGAATATTGTGACATAGATAAGATTGCTCACTAAAGGTCACTAAATAATAGTTATGATAAAAGTGAGTACAGGTCGCAGCGGACCCGTGAAGATCCGGGGTAGAATAGGTCTTCAGCAACCCATGCTTGCCGTAAAAGGCGACTATGCTTGTCGTAAGGGGCGACTAACGGGATCGGGTGGTCAGGCTCGCTGACCTGGTTGATGCATGTCATCGATCCCAATTGCGTTGATCGATGCTCATGATGTAAATCACTGGATTGTCTGGTCCAGACTCGATTATTTACAGACCGCCGTCATATAGCTGGAATATTGCTGAGTGCGGCGTTAAAAACAAAGAAACAGGTTGCAGCGTTATGTCTGTATATATAGATATTGGTGACAACAGACTGCTGTGAAGTTACAATATTACCGACCAAAGAGCTGTTGGTCGACACCCATTACCTGCAGCAGTCGCCCGCATGTGCCCGTGCTATACTTTTACGTCCGCTTCATTTCAGGGCGAACAAGGACGCACTGGAAAACAAGGAATTCTGGGACCGAAGGGAGAGCGGGTGGGAAAAGTTTTATCCCTCACGGGCTCCAGTGAGAGGATCAGCGTGGCCACAAGAAACTCTTATCTCTGTTTAGATAGTTTAACATCTGTCTCTGAATAATACTGAATAACAGCATGTCTTTTAACAACCAATACAGCTGTTTGACTAATGTATGTGCGAGTGCGAGTTATTGCCCTTGTTTCACTCTCTAGACGATTCAGACGATCAATTAATCAGTCCTTGAATAAGCATTACATATGCATATACCTGGTATAGTAATGAAGTCAATAAGAAGAGCAAAGATCAAACATTTAACAAAGAATATTAAAATGGTTTCATTTTAAATGTAGTTTGATGTGTCACTTTGCTATTGTATTAGTTCGTATGACGAATATTTTTAACACCGTGTTTTGATTATCTCCCCTCACAGGGAACGCCAGGCAACAGAGGGCGCAATGGTTTGCGGGGACCGCCAGGGCCGACGGTAAGGGAATGAGTTTAACAGTGTACACGCCAGGACGTTCAACGGTGAACCGTTTAGACTTTCTTCAAGAGTTTATTGCCAAGTTCAAACTGAGTCGGTGACAATCTCGTTTATGTTTTAGGTCGACCCGATGGTAAGATGAGTAATTATTGTTGAAATAATTGAATGTCAGTAGTTTTACTAATGACTGACACGTGATGCCACTAATGATTCACTTCTACCCGTCATGCCTTTCGGTAGGCCCAATTCTCAGGAAGCGTAAAGTTTGAAACGACGTAAGGAAAGGCTTGAGTGGTCTCTGACTGCGGGCGACTTCACAATCTGTCTCCTGCCAGGGCGTACCGTTACACCGATACTAACCGATATCCTGTGGCCGCGTCACTATATATCTGTGAGGAATAAGGCATATAGGGAGTAACGCATATTGAAAATGAACATATCGGGACTAGTGACGTTGGGAATAAGGCATATCTGGAATAGGCAGGTTGAGAATAAGGCATATCGGGAATAGGCAGGTTGGGAATAAGGCATATAGAGAATAGGCAGGTTGGGAATAAGGCATATAGGGAATAGGCAGGTTGGGAATAAGGCATATCGGGAAAAGGCAGGTTGAGAATAAGGCATATAGGGAATAGGCAGGTTGGGAATAAGGCATATAGGGAATAGGCAGGTTGAGAATAAGGCATATCGGGAATAGGCAGGTTGGGAATAAGGCATATCGGGAATAGTGACGTTGGGAATAAGGGATATAGGGAATAGGCAGGTTGAGAATAAGGCATATAGGGAATAGGCAGGTTGAGAATAAGGCATATAGGGAATAGGCAGGTTGAGAATAAGGCATATAGGGAATAGCCAGGTTGAGAATAAGGCATATAGGGAATAGCCAGGTTGAGAATAAGGCATATAGGGAATAGGCAGGTTGAGAATAAGGCATATAGGGAATAGGCAGGTTGAGAATAAGGCATATAGGGAATAGCCAGGTTGAGAATAAGGCATATAGGGAATAGGCAGGTTGAGAATAAGGCATATAGGGAATAGCCAGGTTGAGAATAAGGCATATCCAGAATATTATTTAAAAAAAGTTTAGCTGCAGAAGCAGGGGGTTCACAGACGCAGGGCTCTGGTTCGTGATTCATCCTACAAGTTGGGCTCAGTCTGTTTGACAAGTCTAGATAGTCAGGAACTGACCAGGTAGAATTGCTTCTTTCCGTGCTAACAAGTCATCATTTTTTCTGAACGTGTTACTTTTACGGGAATAATGTGTTGCTAATACATTTAATTCAGTGGAGCATTTGAAAGCAATTTAGAACACTAGATATCTAATGCTTGTAGACAAACTAGGTTTTAAGAATCTTCTTTTTATTTGATTTGCATTTATTTGGTCCAACTAACAAGATCGCATGCCATTTGTTTTTCATGCCGTGAACATAAAGTAATAAAACAGAAAACACCCCGTTTCAGCTTATAGCCGGCTGTACTACTAAAAAAAATTATGGATCATAGATTCTTTCATATTACTATAGTTAATCTGCCATTTGACTTCTGATTAACTATAGTAATATGAAAGAATCGGGTGATCCTTAATTTTTTGTAGTAGTATATTGCTGGTATATTACTGGTTTCATTGAAATGTTAAAATGGTAATATCTATATAGTTACTGCTGATTTGACATTTCATTCTGTTTTACTGACGGAAGAGATTGCTGAATGAAGACGTAAAGCTTCAAACAATGTTGATGTTATATAATTGATGTTGATGTTTTGACTTATGTCATACTGAAGTTCTCTACGCATGGCCTGCAACATACTTCCACGTGCATGTACAGCACATTAATTAGATGTGTTTGAAACATGTGTTTCCTTTCGGCTAATATTTCTTATTCGCTACAGGGCCCGCAGGGAGACCAGGGTCAACTGGGACAGAAAGGCAACCGTGGCGACCCGGTATGTCCGTCTGTCGACGAGTACCAACCGCTCCACGGCGCATGGCGGGGCCGCATATCTCAGCCGTAGCTGCACGTCGTGCCACGTCTCATACTGCTCCTCACACTGTTCCTCACACCGCTTCCACATACAGCTCCTCACGCCGCTCCTCGTGCAGCTCCTCACACCGCTTCTCATGCAGCTCCTCACACCGCTCCTCATACAGCTCCTCACACCGCTTCTACATACAACTCCTCACATCGCTCCTCATACCGCTTCTACATACAACTCCTCACATCGTTCCTCACATCGCTCCTCACACCGCTTCTTCATACAGCTCCTGATACAGCTCCTCATACCGCTACTACATACAGCTCCTCACATCGCTTTTGCATACAGCTGCTCACACCGCTACTACATACAACACCTCACATCGCTCCTCACACCGCTTCTACATACAGCTCCTCACACCGCTCCTCACACCACTCCTAATGCAGCTCCTCATACAGCTCTTCACACCCATCCTCATACAGCTCATCACGATGCTCCTCCTACCGCTCCTCATGCAGCTCCTCACACCGCTTCTACATAGAGCTCCTCACAGTGCTCCTTATACCGCCTTCCCTGGAAGATATAACCATCTGCCGCTCAGCAAATAGATCACGTTCCGGACACTTCATCGAAATGTCTCTAACCTGAAAAACACATTTTCTTTTAAAAAATGGAAACCATTCCAAATGGTCCATCCCCTCATGCCCCTCTGTTTCTAACGTAAAGAACGAGTTAGGTGATGGTTGAATACCACTATCTGCTGGGAGGCAACCTTGTCACGCATTACTATATATGGTCATCACGCGCACAGTGGTACGTCACGCTATGCTATATATAGTCAAAACACCAGCACTGGTTGCCATGTTGCTTCGTATTGTCAGAACTCGGTACTGTTATACACAATGTCACGTTTGAATATATATGGATACGTCACGCTATTCTATATATCCTTAAAACACCTGCACGTGGTTACTGACAGGTCACGCTATGCTAAATATAATCAATACACCTGCACGTCATGCTTTGCTCTGTATGAAGTCAATAACATTTTGGTGTACGTGAAGCTATATTGTTTTACACGCGTAGACTGGTACGTGACGCTATGCTATATCGTTCCCACACATGAAATACTACATCTTATGCTATAAACAGTCCATCTAGATATATACTAGTACGTCACGCTAACTATATACTGTTAATATATACACGTACACGCTTGTACGTCGCTCTCTCTATATATACAGTTAATACATACGTAGTCTGGACGTCTGGCTAAATCTATGTAAATACACACGTATTAGTACACACCGATTAGAATTCCGGCGTTTAATAGATGAAATGCGGTATATATTGTTAATACATGCGTAGACTGTTACGTCACACCATACTAATTATTGTTAATACTCGTGAAGATTAGGACGCACCACTATGTAATATATTGTTTATACACGTGTCGACTGGTATATCACGCTATATCATATATTGTTAATACGTCACACTATACCATATATTGTTTATATATCACACTATATCATATATTGTTTATATATCACTCTATACCATATACTGTTGTATATATTATATATAATATACTTGTATATTGTTAATACATCACACTGTATTATACATTGTTTATACGTCACACTATAATATATATTAAGACACGCGTACACTGGTTCGTCACACTTTACTATACATTGTTTATACGTCACACTATAATATATATCAAGACCCGCGTACACTGGTTCGTCACACTTTACTATACATTGTTTATACGTCAGACTATAATATATATTAAGACACGCGCACACTGGTTCCTCACACTGTATTATACATTGTTTATACGTCACACTATAATATATATTAAGACACGCGTACACTGGTTCGTCACTCTTTACTATACATTGTTAATACGTCACACTATAATATATATTAAGACACGCGTACACTGGTTCGTCACACTTTACTATACATTGTTTATACGTCACACCATAATATATATTAAGACACGCGCACACTGGTTCGTCACACTGTATTATACATTGTTTATACGTCACACTATAATATATATTAAGACATGCGGACAATGGTTCGTCACACTTTACTATCCATTGTTAATACGTCACACTATAATATATATTAAGACACGCGGACACTGGTTCGTCACACTTTACTATACATTGTTTATACGTCACACTATAATATATATTAAGACACGCGTACACTGGTTCGTCACGCTTTACTATACATTGTTTATACGTCACACTATAATATATATTAAGACACGCTTACACTGGTTCGTCACGCTTTACTATACATTGTTTATACACTATAACATATTTTTTTATACGTCACGCTGTACGATGTGTCACACAAACACCTGGCTCACCTGCCCTGGATCTTCAGCTTCAACTTTACGTTTTGTGGCGACATAGGTCTCGAGTTCATGGCGACTCTTGAGTCCGACGAACAGCGGTGACCGTGCAGCAGGGAACCCCACCCCACACGTGGAGTGCGGGGAATATGACAACCCCTGACCTCTGCCAGTGTCCTGTGTCTATGTGTATATAGTATCTGTATATAGATGCATGAGCTTCTCAATGTGCACCCGATGTGCATCCCAGGACGACTCCGCTGCAAGACGCATACACTATTACTGGCATAACTCCTTGCTGCATGACACACCAATTCACATCGGATCGTAACACTTGTCCAACAATTAACATAACCACATGTACCGATGTGCAAGGGGAACTAACATTATATGTTGTATAATACACTAACATCCCAGTACAAACTTCTTGACTGGCAGTAGTAGAACTGCTAATAGTGTTATGTTGAAGTTAATGAAATAAATGAGTTAAATGAATAGAAACGAACGATACGAGCATTAGCGCATTGAAAACACCGACGTCTGTTTGCTATGAGGAAGTCAGTTTAAATGCATGTATTTTCTTTTCTTTACGTCATCCTTGAGGTAAGCTCCCCTTTATCATTATTTAAATGCAACATTCAGCAGCGTTATATGAGTTACTTACGCCACATGCTGCTGACGATAAGGCTCCAGACGTAGTCGTGCAAAGCAAGCGCTTGAAAAACCGCAACAGTCTAAGGGAGATAACTTTTGACATTCTGTTTCAGGGGAGGTAACTGTGTGATATGTCATGTTTCAGGGGCCCCCAGGTCCGCCTGGGATTCCCGGTCTGCTGTCGGAGCCGCAGGAGGGGAAAGCGGTATGGGAGGATCTTATCAAGAAGTTTCAAGTACTACTCCATTGGTTTTTTTGCATGTATGCTGTCGACCCGGGGGATGCTCTTCCTCACACGCCATAGTCTAGACATGCACTCTCCTTTCGTCAAATCCTTTTTTCAAATTCCATACTTTCCCAACAATAATGAAGTATGAGAGTCATACACCTATATGGGAGAGGGTCACTCATATTTTCCCTCAACACGCCTTTCCATTTACTTTCGTCCAGTCGCTTTTAGACATATTAGATTCGCCTGTGTACTGGTGGTATATCTATAAGTAATATCCTTCATATATTTTGCGCTCGCGACATCCTTATTTTCCAAGCGCATATTGATTTGAGTCTTTCAGACGATTGACTTTTAACGCACAGAAATCAGAGGAGTAGTACTTGTTTCCGGCGGAAGCGTTCTGAATGCGCATGCGTTGCAAAGAGTTAGACAAATTGCTTGGCTCTGTTTATGGAATTATTCTTGATCTGACCTCAGTCATTTCTTTAGTTTCAAAAATGGAGCCTACCTCTAGCAAGCGCACATCGCGTCAAGACGCCTCTACCGGTTGTTCATGCTATACACGTATATTGATGACCCATTTTGTTGCCTGTTGTCCCCAGTATTCCAGAGCGAGTCTGATCACTGAAGCTCAGTGGCGGCGCTCAGTCTCTGTGCGCAGGTGAGTTGACGCACATCCGGGTACTGCTGCACAGCGAGCGTTGCAAGGCAAGACATCTGTAATTAACACGTGCTTCAACCTCTTGAGTTATCAGGTGTAATATCGGACTACGAATATACCGTTTGTAGTTTTGTTTATCATGAATGATATTACTTCAAATCCCATCCAAATATAAATTAATATATTATTCAATCATTCTATTTTTCTTCTAGTCCAAACGATGAGGAATATATAAATCAGTGTTTGTCCACTGAAATAAATGTTTTCTCCAAGCTTAGAAAAATAAAAACGGAATTTGATAGAATGTCTCCTCCTTTTTAATGACAGTAATATCTCCAATGACCAACATAATTATTACTGGATTCTGAAACGTTTCATCGAATTCCCGCCTGTGATGTCCTAGAGCGCTGCCCCCACCCTCGCTCCCACCTGCCCCACCCTCCCTCCCACCTGCCCCACCCTGTCCTCATGCCGTCTACCCCACGGGCGGAGCACCTGCTACCTCCCCCACCGTCCGTCCCAGCGGATCAACCCTTAAACCAAGCACAGTACAAACATAAAAAAAACGCTGCGCAAACTTAGCGCGCGGTAAGTACCGCTTTGCATGTCCGCCTCCCCCGGACGCTGATGCACACACTCATTCTCCTACCAATTGAATATTGACAGGGTCCAGCAGGGCTTCCGGGAGCTCGAGGGGTGCCGGGAGATAAAGGACCAAGGGTGAGTATCAAGGACAGAACACGATTATTAGGGCTATGATGCCAAACTTCGTCCTTTCAATAAAACCTTTTTTACAAGAATAAAAGATTCTCTTTACGTTGTCAGGCAGTGTCAACGTAAGTGATATCGTTGATATCGCAGTATATGATATCGTGGGTACCGACGCAGTTGGTTAAGTATAATGCCGGGCAAAAGAAAGTATACGTGCACCCATGTTTGATGGTGGCCGATATGAAACCAACAACAAATGCTTATGCGATGGTAATGTATTTGATAAGAGTATCATAGTTGTGCTTTAACCGAAAAAAAACTACCCTAATTTTTGTCTATAGTTTTCAGTGTTTTGGTGACTGTTTTCAGCCTAGGAGTTTTTTTTTATGACGGTTGTATTTTATTTTGTCAAATCAAAAAGTGTATACTTTCTTTCGACCGGTAGTGTCATGGGATGTCATTGATGTGGTCCGGGGTGTATGGGGATGTCCCGTTGTAGAGTAGAGGTGTCACACATTCTGCACTTACAAAACCTTCATGTCGCCAGCAAGCACAAGCCGTTTGAAGCTGAAATAACTTCTCACTCACTCTGGCGATCGTGTGAAGATATTCAAGGCTATGGCCTCCCCCATCAAGAACGTAACTTGTCCGACCACAAGTACATACATGGCTTCCCCTGAGCCAACACGGCGGGGGATTGGAGAGGGGGGGTGCACCTCATGTCGGAGGTAATGACTCTACATGCTGGCTGGGTTGACTTGATCGCTGAGGCAGCAGATTTAATTTCAACAGATGCAACCTCATAGACTTACATCTAGTCTCTTATCTGATTTACTAAAATGAACATATCTTACCTAGACTTACATCTAGTCACTGAAATGAGCATACCTTACAGAAAAAAAACAGCTGTTAACTTATCTCTCTAAATTATAATAAAAAAGAGCCCAGGGACTCTATTCATTTTCAGATACTGCGGTAACCTGGACTTCCCAAACATTATAGACTTGCATGGGCTGTATTGGATATATATGTTTCAGGGTCTGTATGACAGACGAGCAGCTTCCCCGCGTCGTGTTATAACGGGTGGGATCGGTGTTTTCATGTATCAATTGATAAATAATAATGTAGACATACTTTGGGGCTATGCCCGTGATTGTGATCACGTGCATTCGAATGCAGTTTGATAGAACGTCCAGTTATCATTTTTATAAGACCTTCAGCAACCCATGCGTGTCGTTAAAGGCGACTATGCTTGTCGAAAGAGGCGACTAACAGGATCGGGTGATCAGGCTCGCTGACTTGTTTGATACATGTCATCGTACCCCAAGTGCGTGGATCGATGTTCATGGTGTCAATCACTGGATTGTCTGGTCCAGACTCGATTATTTACAGACCGCCGTCATATAGCTGGAATATTGCTGAGTGCAGCGTTAAACAACAAACATACAAACAAACATATATGATATTAGATCCTGTGCAATTTCAACGTCAAGCGTGATATACGTGATTATTTACCTGGACACACTACAATTGTTCCATAAACCAAGGTACATACCAGACGCAGGTACAATCTTAGCCCAGGGGTAATATAGAGGTTGTTACACCAGACGCAGGTACAATCTTAACACTGGGGTAATATAGAGACTGTTATACCAGACGCAGGTACAATCTTAACACTGGGGTAATATAGAGACTGTTATACCAGACGCAGGTACAATCTTAACACTGGGGTAATATAGAGACTGTTATACCAGACGCAGGTACAATCTTAACACTGGGGTAATATAGAGGCTGTTATACCAGACGCAGGTACAATCTTAGCCCAGGGGTAATATAGAGGCTGTTATACCAGACGCAGGTACAATCTTAACACTGGGGTAATATAGAGACTGTTATACCAGACGCAGGTACAATCTTAGCCCAGGGGTAATATAGAGGCTGTTATACCAGACGCAGGTACAATCTTAACACTGGGGTAATATAGAGACTGTTATACCAGACGCAGGTACAATCTTAACACTGGGGTAATAAAGAGACTGTTATACCAGACGCAGGTACAGTCTTAGCCCAGGGGTAATATAGAGGTTGTTATACCAGACGCATGTACAATCTTAACCCTGGGGTAATATAGAGGTTGTTATACCAGACGCAGGTACAATCTTAACACTGGGGTAATATAGAGGCTGTTATACCAGACGCAGGTACAATCTTAGCCCAGGGGTAATATAGAGGCTGTTATACCAGACGCAGGTACAATCTTAACACTGGGGTAATATAGAGACTGTTATACCAGACGCAGGTACAATCTTGGCCCAGGGGTAATATAGAGGCTGTTATACCAGACGCAGGTACAATCTTAACACTGGGGTAATATAGAGACTGTTATACCAGACGCAGGTACAATCTTAGCCCAGGGGTAATATAGAGGCTGTTATACCAGACGCAGGTACAATCTCAACACTGGGGTAATATAGAGACTGTTATACCAGACGCAGGTACAATCTTAACACTGGGGTAATATAGAGGCTGTTATACCAGACGCAGGTACAATCTTAGCCCAGGGGTAATATAGAGGCTGTTATACCAGACGCAGGTACAATCTTAGCCCAGGGGTAATATAGAGACTGTTATACCAGACGCAGGTACAATCTTAACACTGGGGTAATATAGAGGCTGTTATACCAGACGCAGGTACAATCTTAACACTGGGGTAATATAGAGGCTGTTATACCAGACGCAGGTACAATCTTAGCCCAGGGGTAATATAGAGGCTGTTATACCAGACGCAGGTACAATCTTAACCCTGGGGTAATATAGAGGTTGTTATACCAGACGCAGGTACAATCTTAACACTGGGGTAATATAGAGACTGTTATACCAGACGCAGGTACAATCTTAACACTGGGGTAATATAGAGACTGTTATACCAGACGCAGGTACAATCTTAGCCCAGGGGTAATATAGAGGTTGTTATACCAGACGCATGTACAATCTTAACCCTGTGGTAATATAGAGGTTGTTATACCAGACGCAGGTACAATCTTAACACTGGGGTAATATAGAGGCTGTTATACCAGACGCAGGTACAATCTTAGCCCAGGGGTAATATAGAGGCTGTTATACCAGACGCATGTACAATCTTAACACTGGGGTAATATAGAGACTGTTATACCAGACGCAGGTACAATCTTAGCCCAGGGGTAATATAGAGGCTGTTATACCAGACGCAGGTACAATCTTAACACTGGGGTAATATAGAGACTGTTATACCAGACGCAGGTAGAATCTTAGCCCAGGGGTAATATAGAGGCTGTTATACCAGACGCAGGTACAATCTTAACACTGGGGTAATATAGAGACTGTTATACCAGACGCAGGTACAATCTTAACACTGGGGTAATATAGAGGCTGTTATACCAGACGCAGGTACAATCTTAGCCCAGGGGTAATATAGAGGCTGTTATACCAGACGCAGGTACAATCTCAACACTGGGGTAATATAGAGACTGTTATACCAGACGCAGGTACAATCTTAACACTGGGGTAATATAGAGGCTGTTATACCAGACGCAGGTACAATCTTAGCCCAGGGGTAATATAGAGGCTGTTATACCAGACGCAGGTACAATCTTAGCCCAGGGGTAATATAGAGGCTGTTATACCAGACGCAGGTACAATCTTAACACTGGGGTAATATAGAGACTGTTATACCAGACGCAGGTACAATCTTAACACTGGGGTAATATAGAGGCTGTTATACCAGACGCAGGTACAATGTTAGCCCAGGGGTAATATAGAGGCTGTTATACCAGACGCAGGTACAATCTTAACCCTGGGGTAATATAGAGGTTGTTATACCAGACGCAGGTACAATCTTAACACTGGGGTAATATAGAGACTGTTATACCAGACGCAGGTACAATCTTAACACTGGGGTAATATAGAGACTGTTATACCAGACGCAGGTACAATCTTAGCCCAGGGGTAATATAGAGGTTGTTATACCAGACGCAGGTACAATCTTAACCCTGGGGTAATATAGAGGTTGTTATACCAGACGCAGGTACAATCTTAACACTGGGGTAATATAGAGGCTGTTATACCAGACGCAGGTACAATCTTAGCCCAGGGGTAATATAGAGGCTGTTATACCAGACGCATGTACAATCTTAACACTGGGGTAATATAGAGACTGTTATACCAGACGCAGGTACAATCTTAGCCCAGGGGTAATATAGAGGCTGTTATACCAGACGCAGGTACAATCTTAACACTGGGGTAATATAGAGACTGTTATACCAGACGCAGGTACAATCTTAGCCCAGGGGTAATATAGAGGCTGTTATACCAGACGCAGGTACAATCTTAGCCCAGGGGTAATATAGAGGCTGTTATACCAGACGCAGGTACAATCTTAGCCCAGGGGTAATATAGAGGCTGTTATACCAGACGCAGGTACAATCTTAACACTGGGGTAATATAGAGACTGTTATACCAGACGCAGGTAGAATCTTAGCCCAGGGGTAATATAGAGGCTGTTATACCAGACGCAGGTACAATCTTAACACTGGGGTAATATAGAGACTGTTATACCAGACGCAGGTACAATCTTAACACTGGGGTAATATAGAGGCTGTTATACCAGACGCAGGTACAATCTTAGCCCAGGGGTAATATAGAGGCTGTTATACCAGAAGCAGGTACAATCTCAACACTGGGGTAATATAGAGACTGTTATACCAGACGCAGGTACAATCTTAACACTGGGGTAATATAGAGGCTGTTATACCAGACGCAGGTACAATCTTAGCCCAGGGGTAATATAGAGGCTGTTATACCAGACGCAGGTACAATCTTAGCCCAGGGGTAATATAGAGGCTGTTATACCAGACGCAGGTACAATCTTAACACTGGGGTAATATAGAGACTGTTATACCAGACGCAGGTACAATCTTAACACTGGGGTAATATAGAGGCTGTTATACCAGACGCAGGTACAATCTTAGCCC